TTAATTTTACATTTTGGCCATGTAAGAAGAGTTGAATCAAATTATAAGAAATGATGTTTGGGAATTGATTAAAAGACCAAAGGATCGAAGTGTTGTTGGAACTAAGTGGGTATTCAAAAATAAAATGAATGATTCAGGCGTTGTGATCATAAATAAGGAAAGATTGATGACAAAGGGGTATAATGAAATAGAAAAGTGATTAAGTTTGAAGAGACTTTTACCCTTGTAGCAAGACTTGAAGTAATTAGGATTTTGTTAGCCTTTGTCTATTTTAAAGGTTTGAAATTGTTCAAAATGGATGTAAAAAGTGCCTTTTTGAATGGGGTAATATAAGAGGATATTTATATTAAGCAACCTATGGGTTTTGAAAATTCAAAATTCATTAATCAAGCATTTAATATGAAAAAGATATTGTATGGATTGAAATAGCACCTAGGGCTTTGTATGAGAGGTTAAGGACTTTCTTATTAGAAATCATGTAGCTAATGGATGTTGGTGGAATTTTGAAAATAGGTTTTGAAAAATATTAGTTTTCTTTGGAAATTTTAAGATTGAGATTGAATTCTAATTCTAGAAGTCGAATCAACTCATTCGGAAAAGTATATCGCCCCAAAGGACGAAAATAAAATTTCATAACGGTGTTCAGACTTAGAATTATGTAATTCATCTTGAATATCATAGCTAGACTCTAAAGAGAACTTCACACGGCCCCGAGGGGACAAGGTAAAGTTCAACTAAATATCTGGTTATGATATTCAAGGAGTATGATTGTCAAATTCATATCCAAAGCCTTATTAAAGAAGGACGTATCTCCCCAAAGGGAGATAACACCTTTCAATGATAATTCTTCTAATATGATAATGACAATCATTTTTTAACTTTTCCCAAAGAAATCTAAGAAGATTTTTAAAAAGATTAATTTTGAAATCAGGTGTGTGTGGTTCCAAATCTCCTACGAGCGCAAACCCTCGTAGTTAATTACATCGTAGGGAGACAGAGTCTCCTACGAAAACTCACGATTAAAATAAGAATAAAACTTTGTTAGATTTTCTAGGAGTGATATCAAAAAAGCGAATAAAATCTCTTGGAAAATCAAAAGGGAATGGATCAAGATTTAACATTTATTAACAGAATCATGGGAAGAGAGGTAGGGGACACTTTGAGATTACAGAACCATCCGGAAGTGTCCCAACTTAATCTAAGTGTTGGGCTTAACATTTTAGGATTTAAAGAAGATTTAATTTGAGTTGAGCATTTTATTAAAAATTTGGGATTATATTCCCGAAATTTGGGGTCTTATAATCAAAGATCAGCCCCGGATCCTAAATCTAATTTGGACACTGAACCACAGTCGTCCGATCTTAACTAATGCAGTGCAATGTCTAGACTTACCCTGGCCTAGATTTGGGAGCCAGCTAACCACCTAATCGATTTAAAAGAGATGAGTCCGGTCTTTTATGAAAGAGTGGTAGGGACGTTGTGCTTAAGGTTTTGTAGAATTGGGGTCGACGTCTAGAAATTTTCCTAATTGGACCCTTTGACTTATGTTGGGTGCTAAAATGCTAAAACTGATGCATTTAAAATTTTTGACTCTTTTAATTTGTATCTAATGCAATGCATGCTGGTCGACAACTTCCAAATCAAATATGCTTGAAATTTTAAAAATAGGCTTATAAAATAATTTTTTAGAAGACTACACTTCCCCAGGTCCGGCACCTCGTCCTCATAGGTCAGACTATCTGGACT